TATATATATATATATATATATATATATAACTTTATTTAATACATGATTGAAATCAAATATATAATCTCTTTTAAAACATTAATTGATAATAGATTAATCGCTGCCACAGAAACTGAAAAAATGTATCAATAAAAAATGGAATATGTTTATTTTACTATGAATCAATACAGATTGAAGTAATTATGTTGAATTATTAGGGAATCGCCAGTCTGTTGCGTTATTTTTGGGGGTCTGATATATGAACCTCTGCACTTTCATGTAATATTTCATTTTCGCTCTTTCTGAGCTGTAATTAAAATAAAAGCAATGGGAGTTGAATGTAAACTTTACAACTATAGAATTGTTTTCCAAGTTTTTTTACATAAAATTTCACCACCTCTGCTTTAAATTTCCATTTTTATATGATTAATTTAATCGTATAACTGATGACAAGCTGTGTCTCATGATTTTTTCTTCTCGTTCATTCAGAAAGAAACAGACATTGTGGTTTAAAGTAGAGGAAAATGATTCTTATTTAGATTCAATCCTCAACTCTCACCTGGATCATCCTTTAAGTATGAGAAGCCCTTCGCAGCGAGCAGGAATCCTCCGAACAAACAGATCTGGATGAAAAGCAGCTCCTTTCGCCGTTTCCGCCTCGCTTTCACCCTCCGCTGGCGCATCGTGGCTCCATCCCGGTGTCGGATACCCAGCGGCGGCATCTCCTGTCCGGCTGCCTCATCCATAGGGATTCCCCTTCTTCCTGCCTCTAGGATGAACCACAAGCTGCTGTAATTCCAGGGAAACGGAGCACCCCCCCCCCCCCCTTAAAGTGAAGGGGGGTGGTTAGAAAAAAAAATAAAAGTTGAGGAATGATACCGGGGAGGTTCTTTAATGCAGAACGGACCGTAACGAACGGGGAGCCATTATCTCAGAGAGGCGGACTGAGTCCGAATTTCCTGTTAAAATCCTCTTTCCGAGGCGGTGAAGCTGCGGGAAGCTGCGGGAGCGCTCCATGGACGCGCGTGTGCCGATGCGCACCAGAAGAGGACAGGAGCGCGCGCACTCAGTCACACAATAATCTGGATGTACTGCCCTGCTGGCAAAATATGAGCAGTTAAGATAACAGGCCTGCTGCTGTCTGTTGCTTTCAACCTCCTGTACCCTTTATGTGCTTCATGTTGCTTTTTTGTTTTGTTTGTTTTTTGTTTGTTTGTTTTTTCATTCCCAGGATCTGGAAACACTGGGGCCCAACCCAGAAATACGGTCCCTGACAGAACCGCCGAAAGCATCAAAGCAAGAAGCACTGGAGGAATGTTCAGATCTTAGGTGGGAATATATGTAGATTAATTTATTTTTCTAGTCTAGAGATATTATCTGAGGCTAAAACAGTTCAGTTCAGTTTATATAGCGCCAATTCACAACACATGTCATCTCAAGGCAGTTTTCTATTGAAGGAAAATCAGTTGATTAAGTTGGGACAATGCTACTAGGTTCCCGCCGGTTACCTGACTGGCCAGGTCCAGGCGGTTACCTAGCGCTGCCTTGGTCTCTGTGGAAAGACAGGAGCCACATTTGGGAAGAGAGAGGGAAATAAAACATATTTTACACTTTATCCTTGACGAGATACAGTTTGAGAAATCAAAAAACTCTGCACAAAAATAGGCACATGTAAACACAAGACAGACATTTCAGCAGAGGGGTTACATCAGAGGCGTAGTCACATGAAGTCCATCTGACATATTGAGACATTAGTTGTGTGTTTATGATGAGTGTGTTCAATTTGTCCATGAACGCTGACCACAGGCAATGTCCTTGATAAGATGGAAGTTTATCAACAGAAGAGGGCACATCCAGCCAGCCACAGTCAGAGAAACAGGACTACACTGGAAAAAACAGGCCAATATCCTACATCTATGAACTAAGGTGTTGATGGCAGCAGCACAGCTGATATTTCTCTCCAGGATGGCGTCACAGCCAAACAGGAACAGACGAGGCAAAGCTACTATGAGAAAAAGCAGAACAATAGAGATTGAACTAACAGATTCAGCAGAGTGGAAGAATAGAGATGGAATGAAAGAAAATGATGAAATGGGGATACCTATGTCCTCCAGAAGTCTAATCCGATAGCAGCATAACTATAGAGATAGCTCAGGATAACCTGAGTCACTCTAACTATAAGCTTTGTCAAAAAGGAAAGTTTTAAGCCTGCCCTTAAAAGTAGACAGGGTGTCTGCCTCATGGACTAAAACTGGTAACTGGTTCCACAGGAGAGGAGCCTGATAACTAAAAGATCTGCCTCCCATTCTACTTTTAGAAATTCTAGGAACAACTAGTAAACCTGCAGATTGAGAGTGAGGTGCTCTGTTAGGAACAATCATATCTCTGATATAAGATGGAGCTTGGTCATTTAAGGCTTTATATGTGAGAAGGAGGATTTTGTCATGATTGGTTTAAGCGATCTGACCCACATGCAGAGAACCACTCAGAGACCAAGGGAAAAAGTTTAACAGGTTTATTAAATGTAGATGAATAACAGGACCTGGAACTCAGTGGACTGGTGAACCGGAACAGGAAAGTGTGAAGGGGAGATCACAGTGATCAGTTCAGGGACCGTAGGAAATTTGACTG